TTTAGGGTAAGGATTTTAGAAAAAAGTATCGTCTTATAGTCGGAAAAATACGGTATATAAAACAGTTCTATGTGATCTCTTGTGAGCCGGAGGTTGTAACTGACCTTTGAGTGGTATGTCAGGAATCAAACTCCAAAACGTGAGGAAAGAACAAAAGGATGGATATAGCCAGCACAAAAACTAAATTTCATTTAATTTTAATGTAAAATTAAATTAGATTCAGTTGATATAACTTTTAATGTATATAATAATTTCCCCTATCACATCCAAGCCTACAAACCAACAAAGGCTTTTGGTTACGTTAAGGTGGCCGCAGCCAAAGTTGGGGGAGCACTTGTAATCCTGAGTCCATAGTTGTACACTTACTTTATAAAAACGTACTAGCTATGTTTTATATTAGTATTCCGAGCCAAATAAGATTACCATTTTAAACATATGGGCAATCATGCAATAGCTTTGTTTCTGACTGATATTTTCTTAAATTAAGGATGCATAAGCAGATTCACACATGCAAACCGACATTGTCCCAAGCATCCATATGCAAAATTAAGACGAGAAGAACCTACAGATAGACTGAACAAAAAGCAAACTGCAGACAACAAAGCTGTTGCTGAATGGCTGGCAAAGTAAGTATTAAGAACTGAGGCAGATTGGACAGTCACTTGTTAAGCAATAGTCCTGTATTCCATGCAACACTGGCCAGGATGCTAATAAAAGCTTCCTATTCTTTACCACCATGGGGGTGAAAGAGGGGAGTTGCCTTCACTGAACCAATTCTTGTCTTAGTGTAGGAACTAGCTGGCTATAATATTTTGTAATGTTTAGTTGTATCTTTACTAACAGATATTGGGAAATGAGAGAACAACGCACTCCTGTGTTGAAAAGTAAATCTATTCACAAGCCTGACCAGGAACAGCAAGATCCCATGGAATATCTTCAGTCTGAAGATGAGGAAGAAGAGGAAAAAAATACTGCTCATTCATCCCTTTGTAGCCGCCTTCAAGAACAGCGTGAACGCTTACATGGGGCACTGGCACTCATTGAGCTTGCAAATTTGGCTGGAGCCCCACTGCGACAGTAATAGAAGAACTGGAGCTGAGGATTAACAAACTGTACTGAGTTTTGTTACTTAAACCAGTTAGCTTCTGGCATAAGCTAAGCACCTTATTGGCTTCCATAGGCTGCTATTATGTAGAATTTATGAAGAATGTTGGTACCCTAGAAAATAGGGTAAAAGATTTGCACTTTTTATATGGTAAAGCTTTTAAAGTATTTTGTAAATAGGAGATTGTGTAATGCAGTGTGAAACGTGATCATTTTACAGAAAGCTAAATTTGCAAGGTTAGGGCTGTGCTTTTAATCACAGTTGTATGGAAGTAAGTCACTGCAATCAGTGAAATTTGCCTCCATAAAAACAGTGTTTAAAATTGGGACGCCAGTCATTCTTTGTTTCAGTTCTCACAGGAAGCACTTTCTGAACTTGTATGGGAATAATGGTACATACATTCAAAGAAAAATAATAGATTTTTTTAATTGGATGTAATCAGTGATGTACCCATGCTGTTTTGAAGATATTTTATCTAATATTACTGACAGATGCTAGAATGTCTTAATGTTATGGCAACATAGAAGAATTGGGTAAATTTTCATTCAGAATCTTCTCTGTGACTGCTGACATGGAAGCTGACTTTGCTTTTATGGACAGATACCTTAAAGGTCTTTTTGGCTGAGCAGCACTTAGTGTTCCCAGTATAAATGTGGGAATATTTGCACATTGTTGGATTCTTCTATAACTGAGTGATTACTCTTGCAAATTCTAGGCATTGTGGTAACATCACTTCAAGTATGGGTTTTTATCAAAGCTCTTAAACCCTGCAACAATGGCATTTGTGTTTTGTTCATGGGGATATTTACAGGGTAGCGTTGGATTTTAAATGTATTTTAGAATTTCACTAGCAAACACTAAAATACTGCTTCAGAACATTTTCCTGCAGATAGTTTTTTTTTTTTTTTTTTTTTGCGTGATACCACCTTATTACTTAACCTGAAACTTACAAGCCAAGTTTGTTTTCACTAATTGTAGCTTTCAGCAGTAGTTACAAGTGTGGGATGTTTAGGCTGTATTCTTTCCGTAAGTGAAGATATAGTACAGCACTTAGTAGTTTCGATCACTGAAAAGAAAACAAAAGTTAGCAGAATACATTAGAAATAGTTTTAAGTAATTTATCATATGCCAGATGTGTGCCTTGCTAGCTGTCTGTACGCAAAATGAGTACAAGTGCATTATAGGCTAACATAATTCTCATTTTAGGAAGAGTAAAGGCTTCTGGCATAAGTATATGAAATCATTGATCTTTATCCAAATAATTTTTTTCAATATCCAGTCCAGTACTGGATGGAATTTCTTCCTAGTTCCAGATATATTTTGATATATCCTACAGTTACATATTAATATTGGCAAATGGCTATAAAACAGGTAGTGCAGTTTATAGATTTGAATCAAATTTTTTACTTTTGGGGCTGTTAGGTTATTCTGACACCTTCATCCTTAAAACAAAGCACTTCAATTTTGACTTTTGGGCTACACTTAGTTATATTAAATTGTTTAGAAAATCAATGTAAACTTTAATGCTTTCTCTGAATCTGATTTAGCAGTAGAGGAAGACATTTGCACTTCATGGAATCCAATTGATACCATTGTAGGAGTAAATTTATATTGCCTAGCTATGAAAACAAGGTCTAGTTTGATGATGCACAAATATTTTCCCCCAATCCAATATTTTATTTACACTGAATGCATATTGAAAATATGTATTTACTTAAAACACATTTTGCCTAGCTATAGGCATATCAAGCTGCTTTACCAATTATGTATAAAATACATCTTTGGGGAAAAAAAACTCCAGATAACCATTTGTAAAAAGTTAGGTTTTAAAAAGTGAACGTTCAAGAATTCTCTGCTGTGTATGATTAAACTGTACTTCTGGCATGAGTTAAAATGCTGTAATTCTAATAAGCTTTGAATAAAATGCCTGAATTTTAAATTTGTATTCATGGTAATGGCATGGATTCTCATTGTGGTGTAGGGGCCTTTGTGTGTGTGTGTGTGCGTGTGCACGCACGCCTTTGAGTCATTGTTGACTCCTGACGACTGCCTGGACATGTTCCTGCAGTTTTCTTGACAAGATTTCAGAAGTGGTTTGCTATTGCCTCCTTCCTAGGGCTGATAGAGTGAATGGCCCAAAGTCACCCAGCTAGCTTCATCTCTAAGGCAGGACTAGAACTCAGTCTCTCACTTCCTAGTCCAGTGCCTTAACCACTACACCAAACTGGCTCTCATAGGGGCCATTAGAAATATTAAAATGGTATTTTAGAAATTTTGAGGTGAACACAGTGAATTCTATTTTTTCAGTATTTAGAACTGGCTGGTAGAGTTTTGATAGCAAAAGCTTATGGTATAGGAAAACTTAGGCACATCATATTAGGGATATACAAAAAAACAGGAAATACCTCTGGGAACAGAAAGTCCTACAAAACATTCCATCAAAATGTTCCGAGTTGGCTATGTTTCAGTGGGTCAAAACTCTTCTGGCTCTTGGAAGCTTGGAACAAGCCTCTTCCACCTCAGGATCACCTTAAAAAAAGGGGGGGGGATGATAGTCTATGTGGACTCTTGGATATGTTGCCCAACCTACAGAAAAATTGGCCATGAAGATTATTTTAAATTTTTTAAAATTTCCATAGGTTTTGAAAGATCTTGCATAAATATTAATGAGAAGGCCAAAAAGCATGTTAAGAATGGCTGGAAAACTTGAACTAATACTGCTCCAAATAGTAATTTTCTGTTCTAAAGACAAAAAAACCAGTGTTTTCTCAAGCTGGAAACAACTCACTAGATGTTTTGCTCTGAACCTAAAATGATTGGAATGTTTAAAGCCTGAAACAAGCTATATGTGTGTTTTGCCATTTTCACATCCCTGAATTAGAGCATTTACTGATCAAACATGCTTTCTGCAAGCTTACTACTTGCTCCCAGCAAAAGAGGACCAATGGAAGTTCTTTATATTAAAGAAGCCATTTGTACCTATGTCTATGAAATTTAGCACATATTTATATCTAACATAGTTTTCCTGTCAGTTTCGTTGCATTTTGCTGAAAACCTAAAAAAGTTCCAGGTGACTGTACATTTGGTTTTCTCACACTTAACTACTGGACAACAGAATTCTGTTTTAGGGAGCTCTATTTTTTCTCAATCTCTTACAGGAACCAGGTATTGAATTGGATTAGTTCTGGAATAAGTAGAATAATTGGGTCACTGAATTGGGTCACATGTTCTACATACACCCCTAGTACAGATCAATTGCAAGGTAAAATAGTTATGTATGAAAAAATGGTTACATGGATGCAATCTTGTCTGCATTTAAATGGAAGTAAAATTTCACTGAACTCAGATTCTTTAACTTCAGTAAACAAGATCTGATTACTTGGATGTATCTTTTCATAAATAATTGTTTTATTTGTCAACCTTGCCTTAGCCATGCAATTCTAGAAAAATAAAGGTCATCGTCAAATCTAGCTACTTTTATTTACAGTATTCAGTGAATCATCATCATGCAAACTATACCTATAGTTTATCACAATGTGCAGATTCAACCAATGACTCCCATAAGCCATAGCCTCTGGGATGGAATGTAAAGCTGTATTTGGGAAAAGAATGAGAGACTCATTAAGGGGAGAAGGAAAGAGTGAGACTTTAAGGAGGGACTTGCAGAAGAGGTTGCACAGGCCAAAAACAGAAGGAAGTGTGAGAAAGAAACTTTTGCCTTGATTTTGTTTAGTATAAGATGGGACAGAAAGAAACTTGGACAAGCTTTCAAGATTCTCTTAATATACCTTCCAACAGTGAAGTAGCATTACTGGAATCCCTATGGCATCTGTTTCTTGACTTGGCCTACCTCAAAGGGTTGACAGCATCTTAGAGGAAAATATAGTTACTGTTGCAGTGATTCATTCAAGAGGTAGAGAAGAAGAGAAGTTTAAACTGTGGAACCAAGGGGGGATCTGATGTAAAAAAAGACATTCTGATATATCTAGCAAATGCTGAGATGATGGAGGTAGTAGCCTTTCCTAACAGCAGTAACTGGTAATAAGATGACCTTCCTAGTTTTGTTGTGCTAATTGTACTTGCAATGGGAAAGAAAGCCTTTTTTTTGCTTGATATTAAAACAGATGTGAAAAGACCATTTTTAAAAACTACTTCTGGATAGCTGCACATCCAGTCACCTGACTGGAAACTAACAGGGAGGTTGCTCTGACAAAAAATGCTTTTATTTGCCTTTTTCAAACTCAGGGAATTTACTGGAACATAGTATTTATATGGTAGAAGAAAGGTTTTTGTTGTTGTTTTCCATGGACATAAGAGGTGGCTGTTAGCAACCACCTAGCAACTTGCTTCCAACAAGCTGTTCTAGATCATCACTAGCAGAAGAAGGGTGACCTGAACTGTCACATCTCCTTTTTAGGATGGGGGAGCACACAAGGAGGAACCTGTCAGATAACAACAGTGTCTCTGATAGATGAAATTCGGAGAGAAACACTTCTTCTGAAAGAGGGAAATGTTGTGATCTAGGCTAGCTCAACCTTCCCAACTTTCTATCTTCCACGTGTGCTGGGACCACAACTTCCAGATTTCTCAGCAGCCACACAGCTGGAGGACACTGGGCTGGAGAAAGCTGGTTTCTTGCAGGCCATAATGGCGACTTAGATGCTCCCCCTTGTTCTCCTTGCTCGAACACGGCAGGGAAGCAAGAAGAGCAAAAAGCGCGTGCCGATCCTGTGGAGTCCAGAAGTCGCCGAATAAAGCAAACTTGTTCGGGGGGACGCCTGAACCTCGCCCTTGGCCGCCCAGCTTCCGAGGCATTTCAACTGGAGAAAGAGGGGGCGTTGCAACCGAGTGGGTGGGGACAGGCAAGGCGGGTGCAAGCTTCTTCCTGTTTGGCCTTGTTTCCTTTAGCGAGGAAGGGCTGAAATTGCCCTTTGCCTGGCCGGCAGGGATGTCATTTCGTGGAACCGGCAGTTGGGGACCTAATGCACCGGTGCGAAACGATGAAAGCCAAGCAGCCGGATCAGGAGTTGCTTGCCCCTGCCCAGTCCCCGCTGCCCAAGCTGCTCTCCGCCCTTTTCTACGGGACCTGCTCTTTCTTAATCGTTTTGGTAAACAAGACAGTGCTGACAGTTTACAGGTGAGACCAGAGGAAGAACTTGCTTCGCAAGCCTGCGGGCGGGCTCCAAATCAGCCCACCGCCAACGGGACAAAGCCACGCCTTACTTCCCTTTGTCCCTCTCTGTGCGGAGGGTGTTTTTCCCAGCGTCTGACCTGTAGCAAATGCGATCGTGATTGGAATGGTGCGTGGTCTTCCTTCCCCGCCTTCAGACAGGACCCCGCTTCTTATCGACTATATTGAAGCGTCTTGGGCTAGTCCTTCTGCTCCCTCATTCTCTGGAGGGGTTCTATGCCCTGCCTTGAAGAGAAACACTTCTTTAGCTCGATGGGCGTAAGAATGTCCTCAGCTCTTCCCAAACTTACCGATGCATTTTAAAAAGTTGCTTTTAATTGGTGGCCCAAGAAATGCCATCTGTTGTCACACAAGATCTGGTTCCAAAGGTTTGATTCCAAAGTTCTTGCTCAGCTCATAATACAATCGAAGCAGGTAGAAAGGGGAATTGGACATAAGGGAATGCATTCTTCAATCACAGTTGTTTAGCCAAGGCCCAGACGATCCAGATCTGGGCTGTAATATTTAGCTGACAGTAGTAAAGAGATACAGAACATTCTTGCTATTTAGTGGTTGTCCTGAGTTTTGTAGTCCTTGCCAACAGTAATGGCTTTTGTGATTCAAATAAATGTTTTCATTTATTTTTACAATTTTTTTATTAGATCAGTAAATTAAACATTAAGCCATTTTACTACCAGTCTTACTATTATTGTAACCTAGAAGCAAGATCTTTTCCAAGAAATGTGCCTCAAGGTGATTACAGTTTACTATTCCTTTAATTGGTCTAGGATATTTAATTGCTCTTGTATTGCTCTAGGATAACTAAGCTACTCAATCTCTCAGATGCAGGTGCAAAGTCCTGTGATCAGCCAGAAGGAGAAAAATAATTTGTGTTGTACTTTTGAAGATTACAAGTTGAGAATTTGTACATTGAGGCTATAGCAGCTGAACATCTGTGGACCATTAAAAAGTCTTGATGTACAAAGGAAGCAGTTATTCTCTGAGCAGAAGCAGCATTTTGCTAGCAGCGAGAGAAATCTTTGGAGCCATAACTGCACACTGAGATAGGGTTCATACATCACACCAAACTATGTACATGTATGGGTTGCAAGCTCTACAAACATTTCTAACTCTTTGTGGCCATCTAGCAGTTAATCTGATTCTTGCAGTCCAGATCTTGTAGCCCTAAATTGCATTTTGGTGGCTTTGCACAACACATGAATTTTGTTGTTCAAGGTTGTAATCCATGATTTATGACTTACTGTGATGAGTGAACATGGCTTTTTTGCATGAATACATTTCAGGCATGTTGACCCTCCCCAACTTACCATCCACATTAAGAACCTGAACCCAGCAGTGGGCAGCAAGGATTAACCCTTAATTAAGGATGAATTGATAATAACTAACCCAGGTGAATAAGGACCTCAGGTTTGGCAGCCAACAGAGAAGACTGGATGTCAGGATTCTATTTGGCCAAAACCCAAGTCCCTTACCAGCCAGGCCATATTTCCAGCCAGGTCATGATTGTATATTAGGCTGTGGAAGGGCTTTGAGGCCAGCACAGTAGGAAGGGAAATGTGGTATTAGCTCTAGGCCAGCAGGTAGAGCCTGCAGGTCTTTAGTGAAACAGATTAGCATAAGGCAGTGTTGGCCAAACTTGGCCACTTTAAGATGAGTAGACTTCAACTCCCAGAATTCCCTAGCAAGCCATGCTGGCTGGGGAATTCTGGGAGTTGAAGTCCACTCGAAGTGGCCAAGTTTGGACAACACCGGCATAAGGAAACAGGTCTGTAGAATGGCACATGCATAGAACAGAGTAGAGTAGCTTCTTTGCAAGACAGACCCTTAGAATTGATTAGCAACAAGCATGCATGTTACTGGCTTTCTATCCTGGTTGTTAGGGAACACCTATCACTTTGTAGTCTGACACTTCTCTTGCAGGTTTGGTGTGCTATTCCTGCCATTTTATGGCTGTTTTTATTGTATGGTCTTGTATAGCCTTGGTATCCACCAACCCTTTTTGTATATTCTGTATCTTATTTTGTTAATGTTGTATATAATTGGAGATATGGGCTTGATTTGCTTCCATAATGTATGTTGAGGATTGCATTACACACAAGTAATCCATACATGACTGTATTGCATTGGAGAACCAACAGTTTTCATATTTTCACCATAACTACCCCAATATTAATTTGCATTAGCCTTTATGATTTAACTTTTGAACCCATCAGTTTATTTTTTTGTCTAAGCAAGTTGCAGAGTTTTCACAATTGCCATTTTGATAGCTTCTGATATGTGCATGTTTGCATATATATGCCCTTTCTTTGTAAGCTGAAATATACAATGGAATCATTCATGTGTGTATGTATACACACACACATTCATACACACACACAGACTCTCACACAAACATGTGCATGCATAAATAAATGTCACTTTTTTTTTCTTTCTAGATTCCCGTCTCCAGTGTTTCTTGGAGTAGGACAGGTATGTTCAGAGATAAAAGAGATTAAATGATAAATATTCGAATTTACAAATACAGGTTTTCCAGTGGTTGAAGGATGAAATGCAGATCATTTGCTTCCTCTTGAGATTGTTCTGTTTGCTGATGCCTATCTCAAGGGTTTTTATAAAGTAGGATTGTAACAGGGATGGGTCATCTTCTGGTGACTGAAACTACAGGTAGTATTTTGGAGGCTCAGAGACACAGGTGGGCATCATGATACAAAATGAGCAAGTCCAAGATGTTCCTTGGGAGAGGGGATTTTATCTCTGTTTTTAAACAATGCTACTTTAGGATTTATATTTTGAAGCATGCTGCTAATTTTTGGTAATCACCATGGTGGGGGGGGGGACACAAAAATGTTTGAAAACACCATCCAGGTCAAGTTGGGGTTCTGTGTTCACTGGCGTAATTCACAAGCCTGTTGGGATCATTAAAAAGAGAATGCAATACAGGTCTTCTTCAGACCAGCAGTGTAAGACCAGTAGTCCACCCCAGATGCATATTGGAAATGATATTTTGCTGCTGTGTGTGATTGTTTTCTCTCCCTTTTAGATGGTAACCACTATTCTCGTCTTATATGTGTCAAAATTAAATAAAATCATTCATTTCCCTGATCTTGACAAAAGCATCCCTAAAAAGGTAAGAATGACTAATTCCTTGCGTGTGTTTTAATATGACAAAGTGAAAAGAATGTTCCTAAATTCTGTTGGCGCATGCAAGTGATCCAGTGTTGTGCTTGCACGACAAAACATCAGGGCATTGCTACTCTAAGGTTAATTGGTAGCTATACTGCATTTTTCCCTAATGTTATCTACTTTATTAGAGAATTCAGCTACTCAGAGTAAGTCAACAATGTTTCTCCATGTTGTTCATCAGCATTTCCCTGTAACAGTTATGGAAATATGTAGGGTAACTTAAGTATTTTGATTTTCACATGTTATGTTGACTTCTGACCAGTCCATTTCATTTAGACATCTCAGTCTCCAGCCACCAAATTAGAGCTAAATTGGTCACTAAACAGTTGTCAATTCCTGCTCTAGCTGTGCACGGTAAGTGAGTTATAGTAATAATGCTGAAAAGTCATCCTCAACGGTGCCACTGTGATTGGAGTCACACATTTTTTAAAGCCAAAACCATAGAAATCATAGCTTACTTTGTTGGCCGTTGAGGTTTATTCAGCAAGCCATTAAAAAAGCAATGGGTAGGTGACCTGTTTCAGCCTGGGACTGTGTTTTCCCTTGTGGCCCTGTCTCAGACAGAGGGTCATGGCTGGGAAAGTTGCATCATTGAGGTGGGAGAGCTGCAGTTTCCACATCCGTGTGAGTGGGTATAACCAACAAAATTGCAGAGGCTTGTGGCACCCTTTGTGCCCCTTAAAATCCCCCCAATGGGAAAAATCCATCTGATTTTGGGGTGGGGAGAAACAAGGCTTAAGGTACATCTGTAACCTAATTAATTGAAATCCAGTACTAATCCAACAGTAGCTGACTCCAGGGGCATCTGTTGGGGTGGGTAAAAACAAACAAACAGAGCAGGCACAACCAGTGGATTAAAGCCCCACCTCTTTTAAATGTGCATCACACACACTGCATGTATGTAAAGGGAAGCGGGGCTGCAGTCATGTCAGCCATTTGACTTTTCTGACCTCCCCCCCCCCCATGGATGCCCTGGCTGTTTTTGTCCAAGGCACAAATTGACTAAAGCCAAGATGCCATTTTATGGTGAAGGGAAGTAACCCTCATCACCAAGGACTGTTTGCAGGCAGTGCATAAGTGCTTAAAGACTGAGAGTGGGGTGGGGGCCCTTTTGGGGAGGGAGACAAAGGAAGATGGAGAGATGAGCACAAGCTGAAAGAACGCAAAAGGCCGAAGAAGCAGCTGCGGGCCTTATCTGCTCCCACCTGTCAAACTCTCCTGACTCCTCAAAGAGGCCTGGCCTTGGAACAGCTCCCTTCCTTGACCGAGAACTAGGCTCTTCCCTCTAAAAGGGATGCCAGCTGGACAGCAAGGGAGCCAGCGCTTGCCAAGGGGAGGGAGAGACCAAAGGACAGGCATTCCTACTGCAAGATGGCTTATCCCTTCAGTTGTAAGTGGATCTAATTATTTGACTGACTGAAGCTTCAAAGGAGACAGTATTTGTTGTAAAGGCCTGTCCTTGAATCAGTCTCCTTGCTTCTTGGTTGGATCCAGTGTTTACTTTCTGACACTTGCAACCTCTCTACATAAAGAAGTCACTGCCACTCATTTTACCCTTACCTGGAATTTGCATGGTAGAATTGCTAGATTCTTCCCACATGTTCATTGTTTTCCATCCTACATCCTTCCTAAAATAAACCCAGTGATATACAACTCAGTTGCTAAAGCTTTACAGATTATGTATGTGAATTGTCCAGTGACAGTTGTTTCTGAATAAAGATCAGACCCACAAAATATTGCAGATTGTGGGGCTTGGGATAGAGTGGGGTCTCCAGATAAATTGTTTGGGAAAAAAAACCTCTGCTAATCTAACATCTCAGCTCCTGAAGGTTTTGATTCTAGATCAATCTCACAGAGCCAAGATGTTTATGATAAGCTGCCTAGAGCCACTTATACAGTGAGACGGGCAGCGTATAAATTTGATTAATAATAATAATAAATATTAGAAAATTCCATTGCTCTCAGTAGGTGGTAGCTTAGCCAAACTTGGTTTATCTCATAAAATAATGCAGGGTTTGTTAGTGCTCGGATGGGAGATCACCAGGAGATCCCGAGGCTAAAGCCTGTTACTTTGTATGTCTGTTTCAACGGTAGATGATTTATGAATTAGTTTGAATAGATTTTTTCCAGAGTGGAGTGAAACAGCATAATCTGAATGATGCATTTATTTTATTACAGCTGTTTCCACTTCCTCTGATTTATGTTGGAAATCATATAAGTGGATTATCAAGCATAGGCAAGCTAAGGTACAGTAAAATCCAGGTGGTAGACTTAAACTGATAGTTTCCTTTTATTTAACCCTTTGTAAATTTCAGACTTTTATCCAAGACTGTTAAAGATGGACTATATTTTTGCATGAAAGCATCCTCATCAAGCCAAAGCATTGCTTTGGACATTTCAGTGTGTAAAATCTGTTTACAAGGTAAGTGCTGGGCTTAAGAAATACTAATACCTTTTCTTCACAAAGAGAGTATACAACTAGCCATTCTACTTTCTATCCACATGTTTTGATATTTTCCTCCTTGCCTTTTGGGGATAGATACGTCCTTGATCTATGACTGCTGAAAATGAACATGGATCAGAGTTTCAGACAGTGGGCCATTGTGTGAGAAGTTGGGTGGGTAGTTAAAATGCATTGCTTGGGCAGTCTGTTGCCTGAATAGATAATTGCATATCACGTAATAGTTTTATTTTTCATCTGGTACTCCAGTGATATCCCAGTGCTTAACAGATTTGTAGGTGAATCACAATGTACAAATTTAGATATCTCCGTAAGTACATCAAGGAACAATACCTAAAGCAATGCTTTTGAGCAAGTAACTTGGTATTTAGGGTTCTAAGACATGCACAACACTCATATTTGCTGATCTCACAAGCTTTTGCCAGAATTATTTGTTTGATGTCTGCAACATTGCATACAGTTGTGTGGAGATATCTGAAAAGGTTGCTAGCCTTTACTCCTGGGCGAGCAGAAATGCATGCACTGATCATTTCACACCCTGAAGGAAACACACTAGTGTATTCACTGTAGGCATGTGTGCTTGTTTTGTCTTCCAGCCAATTATTAAATAATATTTTGCCTTGGGTTTTTGGAGCTAAGAATAAGGTATTTGGAATTTGCATTTGACTTAGACACCCTATGGATTTGTAATTATCTATTAATCTAGTACAGTAATGTTGGGACATTCTTCTGTGTTAATATGGAAAGGGTTATGCAGCTCAACCTTAGTGATCATGTAGGAGCCCTTCCCAGCATGGAGGCTTCCAGTCAAGGTTAGAGAAGACTATTTATTAGTTTCTAACCTGGCCTACCAAAACCTTTTCCATAGTTTCCTTGATTCTCAGCATATAAACAGCTGCTCATGGAGAATACCATATTGCTGATTTCTCGATAACTGTTTTCTAATCCAGTTAAGAGGAAATTAATGAAAACAGATTGTACCATACAGATGCCAAGGTTTTTTTTTTTTAAATTCTCACTTCCAACTGTTCTACTGTCTAATCATTCTTTGGTGTCAGACTGACATTTGGCTGTGCAACCGAAAATTTATTTAGGCACATTCTTAATGACAGTCAAAGCTGAGGATGAACTCAGTAGTGGAGATAGATAAGCATTCATAAAGGAGTTTGCCACTGACACGGCCTGTCACTCTCTCTCTCTTTAAATACAGTTTGCCAATGTTTACAGTCCTGAGGAAGTTTACCATTCCTCTTACATTACTGCTGGAAGTTATTATTCTTGGGTGAGTATTTGCCTCTCATTTCTGAAATACCAGAATGGCTTATCAGGTGACATAATGATACAACATATTTTGTTGACTAAGAAGAATTTGAAGAGACAATTTGGACTGCTTTAAAATTTGCAGGGGCAAATAAATTCCATTATATGAATAGTAGAAATCTGGGGCCAAAGATTTAGGTTGTAGTTTCAGCTCAAGGCAGCTCTTCTCACTTTATGTCCAGTGTCTTCTCACTCTCTGTAGTTCGTCAAGCCCATCCTTTCTCTTGGCTCTTCCTTTCACCATTTCTTCATAAGCCAGTGTTTTCCCGATTTCTGTTTGGCTGCCTTCTTTGTTTCCTTCCCTTTACCTTGTGTCTTTCCTATCCTCATCCTGCCAGTTCTGGACTGCCAAAATTCGGATGACCCCTAGAGGGCAAAGAGTTTTCTGTACGTCTTTGCTTCCATCTAGTGATTGTCTGTGTTTTTGAAGCCAAGATCTAATAACCCTGCCCCCTGCTCCTATTTCTTCTGCTGCTGAACACAAGGTGTTCCTTGTCTTCCTCTTCTATCTTTTTCTTAATGCTGCATTTTAGAAACTTCAGTACTTTCCCTGTAACTAGAGTTTGTGAGATATATGAATGTTCTGGGGGTTTTTTGGAAAAACAATGTTTTTCTCTTCTTAGAATTTGATAGCATTTGTGGAGTAAGTTGTTCCACATCACCGCTTAACCTCTAGAAGGGTGTAAAAGTAAATACTGGCTTTGATTGACCAATTAGTTAGTGAATGAGGATAGATTTATAGGCAGCTGTTTTATACCAGATTGGGCCATTGGGCCATATAGTTCTGTACTGTCTAGTCCAGTTCTTATTGACAGTTCTATGTTTTTGGAACAAAGAATTTTCCCAACTCTTTCTGGAGATATCAAGAATTGTATTTGGACCTTCTAGATGCAGAGAAGGTTCTGCCTTTGAATTAAGGCCCTTTAAAGGAGGCCTTCAAATCCTTTGGGATGAAAATGTGACTTTTTTTTTCCTATGGATCAAGTAAAACAAATAACTCTCACTCATTCTGGAATCTTCTTGTCTTAATTCCTGAATATACATTTAGAGGGATATCATTTATTTTTACAGGAAACGCTTTTCTTTGAGCATTATAATCAGCGTGTTTGCAGTCATTTTGGGGGCCTTCATAGCAGCAGGGTAAGATTTTAAAGTTTCCTTTAGAACTGCATCTTTGTATCTTGACATCTGTGAAGAAGAGTATTCCTTTGTAGGTCATTATTTGGAAGAATGAGTAGCTACTGTAAAATATTTGTACACTGCAGTCTTCTGTAGCAGTCTTCCCCAACCTAGTGCCTTAAAAATAGGTGGCATTTCAACTCCCAGTATTCCTAGCTAGCATGGCCAGCTGGCTGGGAGTTCCAGGAGATAGAATCATAGCACATTCAGAGAACATTGGAATGGAAAGGTGCTCTAGATCAGCAATGAAAGTGATCTGGAATTTATCTGCAAAGGATCCTGACTTTGTGCTGCAAAACACAATAACTAACATGCAATTGAAATTCTTTCCATAGACAAAAATGATCCAAAATGACTTGATGTGACTATTGCACATGAATTCAGAATTTGGAAGTGAGGTGGGGGAATTATTCCAGTTCATCGCTTACAAAGGGAGGATGATGGAGTGAGTTAATTAGTGGAATCAAAATGGCCTGAGTCCATAGTTAATCATACTGAAGGTCTCACAATAAATCATGCATTATATTGTGTGATAAAAGTGTCCTAGTAGAATGGGGAGTATTATAGGTAGTCCTCAACTTACAACCATTCCTTTAGCAACCGTTCAAAGTTATGACGGTGCTGAAAAAGTGACTTACAACTGGATCTCGCACTTGCGACCATTGCAGTGTCTCCATGGTCATGCGATTGTGATTCAGGCACTTGGCAACCATCGCGCATTTACAACGGTTGCAATGTCCTGCAGTCACATGATCGCCATTTGTGACCTTCCCAGCTGGCTTCCGACAAGCAAAGCCAATGGGGAAACTGGCTGGGAAGGTTGCAAGTCGTGGTCACGTGATGTCTCACTTAATGACTGCAGTGATTTGCTTAACGACCGTAGCAAAAAGGTCATAAAATTGGTGCGGTCATGTGATACCTCATTTAATGACTGCACCACTTAACAATGAATTTTCCAGTCCGTGTTGTGGTGGTAAGTCGAGGACTACCTGTAATAACAGAGGCCTGGGAGAATTACAGCTTCTAATCATTTCCTGCCAAACAGAGCAAGTATATTTTCAAAACACTTGAATATGAAACACATATTGTAAGGACTATAATATTATTATTTCTTGTTGCGTATGTGTATGTTTTGTGCTCATATGGTAAGATTCTGTGAAAATTTCTCTCTATTAGGTATAGCCCACGTCTTATCCCACTGTAATTTCAACAATTCCATCAAAATATTTTAGACTGAGTGTAATTGTTCTCTGAATAAACTCTTACACTGTAAATATACTTTAAATGGCAAACCCACTTATATATATTATATTTTATAAAATGACCAAGTGACTTTAATGTAAGCTTTGGATTTTCTCAATACTTTATTCGTTAAATAAACAAGACTAGAGGGATTTTTTTCCCAGAGTTTTTAACATATTTATCTGTTGTTCACTGATTTGTAATATGGACACAATTTGGAGAGCAGACAGACTACGTCCCTGCACAAAGAAAGCTCTGTATGTTCTGCCTATTTAAATTAGTCTATCTTTCCATATTTTGTTTTCCAGATCAGATTTAGCTTTCAGCTTGGAAGGCTATGCTTCTGTTTTGCTGAATGATGTCTTCACAGCAGCAAATGGTGTTTATACCAAACAAAAAATTGACCCTAAGGTAACTATGCAGAGATTTTATGTGTTCTTCTTTGCATTTTTTAAACACAGAGTTTTCTGTAATTTTATATGTAGTTTTCATAAGCAGCTTCCATCAAGTCTGGAAAAGTAGATTTCAAAGTCAGCTTAAAGTTTAGGTGTCATTTAATTTTCTTAATACCCATAAAATGGCTGGTGTAGTGGAATATATGGGTTTTTTAAAAAATTATTTGTAGACCACCTTTTATATGCCTCCTTTCAGAAGGTCATAAAACATCCACTCTTAAATCTTAAATCTTGATATTCTGTCAACTAAAAAAAATAGTTCTGTAGCTGATTGCTCTGCTTCTTATAAGTGAGTAGTATATAACCTATGATCTCAGGGCTTTAAAAAGTAGTTGACAAATTGACATTTTAAAGGGAAAATTAGTACATGTAAGTACATGCAGGTATTTGATGCACCTGTATTTCTTGAAATTGTATTTAATTAATGTAATTTTAACTGAATTTAAATGTAAATCAAATTAAGTTTTGTTCTGCCTGAGCTAGCTTTCAGGAGTGTGATCTAAGCTTGACAGTCAAGGACTCAAGTTTCATCATTGGTTTGAAAAAGGTTTTGCAACCCTGTTTTAAGCCAGTTGCTGTTCCAGACTCTGATAGTTGTACCCCATGCTTCTGGCCCTACATATTACCTTCCACCTGGCTAGACCTTTATTTCAGAAGATTCATGCCACTGGCTCCTTGTTCTATTTTGGTTAAGCATAACCAGTTCAGTCATTACCATCCTATTGTTCCCCCAAACATTTTTCCACATAGAATCTTATTTGGTAAACAGCTTATATTATCCTGGCTTACAGGTCTTTCAAACAGAATCTTCAAGATGTATCATTTCATTCACTGGTTTCTATCTATGCTACCATAGATATTTCAATGCTTAATCCTCCAGGCACTCACAAGTAATCCTCTACCAGTTTTTTTTAACAGATATATCTGTTTATACAGGAGCTGGGAAGATATGGAGTAATTTTTTATAATGCCTGCTTTATGGTAATTCCTACAGTTCTCATCAGTTTCTTCACTGGAGATTTCCAGCAGGTAAGTAGAGCTTAGGAACCAACCAGGTACAATAATGCTTTTATTGGTTTGGGTCCTACATTTCTATTCCTTGAATGGTAGGAGTCTTGGATCCTTTTGCTCATGAAGCAAAAATTTAGGATTTCACCCCCTAAAAGGTGACTGATTTTATAACATTGGAGTTATTGCAAGTAATGGTGTAGTATCAGATATGAAACCTCATTCTGGTGAGTTAGGAACAGAATAGGAGATTCATGGGGAATATTATTCCTCCAAAATCTTTATCTGTCCTAAAAGTTCAAGTTATCCTGGCTGTTATATGGTGTTGATCAAGAAGAGCTATTTTTCCCTCAGAACCTTCATACATTATGTGTCTTTTAAATGGCTCCCTCTGTTTGTTTTTGGGGGGGAGGGTTTGCAGGGAGAACTCCTGGAAGGAAGGTCTATACCCTCTCTCTCTTCCCTAAATTAATATTGTTGGGCATTACCTAAACCCTCCAATGCCTTGTGTCCTTAATGGCTACTTGCGAAGACTGTGGGAATCTGCATGCATGCTTCTTGACAATTCAGAGAGAGAGAGAAAATACCCAAAATCAATAATTAGTAATTTACAAGGAAAAGGAATTCTGTAACTATGAAGCAGTGCCTAGCATTCTCTGTTTTATGTGTCTTCATTATGCAGAATGATAAACCTTGCTGTATGATCTAAAATCGTATATGTAGATAAAATGTGTCCTGACCGCATGGATGAAAGTCAAATGGATGTGCAAATGGTGTCTTCCATCCATGACATGTTGATAGGGATCTTAACAATATCTTTAGAACCTCAGCAGAACAAACACTTGGTGTGGTTTCTAAAGTTCAGGTAGATACAACTGAGTAAAGGATTTTTTTTCTTAGATTCAATTATCTTTGTGAATTTTACACACACACACACACACACATTGTGTGTGTGTGTGTGTGTGTGTGTATAACAAATTTGTCACTGCCCATCTCGTTGAAACAACTGTGGGCGGTTTACAAAATGGTTAAAATCAGGGGTTCTCAAAGTACGGCCCACGGGCCGGATACGGCCCACCAGGGTCATTTATCCAGCCCGCCCACCTGATTGGCCGCCACTGCTGTCTGTCAGAAGCGGAAGGGGCGGGGGTGGGTGGGGGGGTGCAGGGGATGGACGGGGGGGGGGGGGGGGGGGG